GGCCTCCCTATCAGGAGTAGCCCCCTCTTTTGTATTTGTGTACCTTTGTCGGTTGACAACAGAGGTCCTTGAGTAGCTAGTGCAGCCACTGACTGACCATGGTTCATAAGCCCACCAATTGGGGGATGACTTGGAGTAGCGTAAGCAGTTGCAGGCCTCTTGCCTCGACGGGCTCTATCAAGTTCTTCCTCTCTTTTTCTCTTTAATCCCCTCACTCGCTCAAATATGGTTTCCCATTGCTGTCAATACCAAAAGAGTTAGCCCTAAAAAATTATGGCAGCAAAGTTGTAGCCCCAGGATTTTGGTGAATTCACCATAACCCAAGGATTAAAATAATTTTCAGTCACAAATATAACACAATCACAGTCATAGCAACGATTACAATACTTCACAACAATCCCAAACATACCCTAAATTGTTGATGTAACATAAAATTTTAATGGTTAACCAAGTTGTTATTGCTTCTCTTTATTTTAGTTTTTTTTTTCTTAAAGAATTTTAATGTCTTTCTTAACTTATTCTTTTTAAGACTTTAGTTCCTCGACTCCAGCTTCTGGAGATCGAACTGCCATGGTGTCGTCCGTGGTTGTCACTGCAATTGCCATGTCCGTAACCATGGTGTTTCTCTCATGCCTCCTCTGGCACAAGGAGAATTATTTACCCTTTACCTCCAACAAGAAGAAAAAGAGGAAGAAGCCAAGAAATGGGGCTATGGATGCTATTGGAAACACTCCCTTGATTCGCCTCAACAGTCTCTCTCAAGCTACTGGCTGCGAGGTCAATCATCTCTCTGTTAAAAATTTTATCTTTTGTTGACTTTTTGGTGTCTGGATGTTCTTCTAGTTTTTTTTTTTTTTTTGAATTTATGGGTATTTTTTGTTGATTTTTGTTGATTTTTGTTGTGTATATATTGATGATAAGAACTGAGAAGATAAGAGTCTCCGAGCCTCAAGCAGTCAAGTTAATGTTTTTCTTTCAATTTTATTATCTGAATTCTCTCCTAGTGTCTGTTCTGTCAGTGAGTAACATGTACATAGTCATATTTGATTTACAGATGGTTGAAGGATGGGCTAATTTGTTCTTATTTTCTTTTGGATTTGCAGATTCTTGGGAAGTGTGAGTTTCTAAACCCTGGAGGAAGTGTGAAGGATA